GCAGCCACCACTGCTACTCCTGCTGCTGCAGCTGCCCCAGCCAAGGTGGAAACCAAGGAAGAGTCGGAGGAGTAAGATGAGGATATGGGATTTGGTCTCTTTGATTGATCATCAAAAAGCAAACTATTCAGCTTGCCTAATAAAGGCATAATTCTCTTTCAAAAAAAAAAGAAAAAGAAAAAGAAAAAAAGAACCACAGCTATTACACCTTTCTAGACTAATAGCCACCTCAAAACCTTCCCAATTAGCATCTATATTTTTTCATTTCAATTTTTTTGTATTTAATACAGGGTCTACAGGGTCTCACTACACAGATCGGACTCGTGATTGTTAGGTTTTCGACGGTGACACAGCAGAGAAACAGGCAGAAGGAAAAAGAGAAAGGGGCTTTATTATAGAGGGAAAGGGGCTTCATTATCTTGGAGGACACGGAGAGAATTTGGGGAGGATAAAGAATTCTCTGGATTGGAACAAAGGGAGGCTGAGTGAAGCTTTTATGACCTTTTACCAGGGGTGCAGTTTGAAGGGGATGTTTAGATATTTTTGAGGAGCTGACTGGGACCTTCTGTGAGGTGGCGGGAAAGGGGAAAGGAAATTGCACCTGGACTGGGTTGGAGAAGAAGGGAGGTGGTCTCTGGGAAGGTGAGCTGTTGTTTTAAGGGCTTCAGCCATACTGGATGGCTACCACAGTAATTCAGCAGTTCATACTAGGGCCAGAACCCATCAGTGATCCTTCTCTTTTCAGACTTCCAAGCACTGGGATTACATGTGCACGCCCCCATGCCCAGTCTCAGTTGCTGTCTCAGTGCATCCCGGGTGGGGCCAGCACAGCAGGCCAGGGATCGAATCTCTGACCCCTGTGTCTGCCTAAACAGGCGCTTTAATCTGCTCAGCTATCCGCTGGCCCTTACATTTTTTTTTTTTTTTCATTTCAAATTTTCATAGTGATACAGGGAGGAAAAACCGGTCTCAGGTGGGTGACCTCCAAACAATATAGGGAACCTCCAAATGACATAGGGAAAAAATGATCTCTGGACCTGACCTGCACAAGTTTTGTGTTCTCTAAAACCGAAGAATTAATTTTAGGAACAAACGGAAGTTATGAGCAGAATATATTTATTGAGAGAAAGAAAGCTCCTATCTGAGAGAGGAATAGGAGGGGGGCCTAGTGGGTAGTTCCCCCAGGAAGTTGTCTCTTGCAGGGACTTTTATAGAGGAAAGCCATGCGGTGAGGTGGGTCTAAGGTGGTGGAGAAGACATGGGAACTTGCTTAGCTGGGCATGAGGTTGGACAAAACTATGGTCAACCAATGAGATTACAAGCACCATTGCTCAGGTAAAATTGATTAAATCCAGTATCAAATGGGAAAGCAAGTCATGTAGCAAGCGGGCACGAATAAATGGGCATGGGTACAGGACAGGGTCTCTTCCTGTTGGGGGTTGGGCTAGTGACTCATTTGGGCTTTTTCAAGTTGATTGATACTATTTAGGATATTAATCCCTAATGCCCATCCCTAGGGAAGTATGTAGCTGTGCTTCCTCTTTTTGTCTTGATCTTGAGGTCTGTCCCATATGGGAGTGTCTGTCTCTTCCAAGTTGCAAAGTCACCTTGTCTTCCATCTTGTCTCCTTGAGGGCCTGACCCTGTCTAACTGCCTATAATATTTCTATCTAACTCGGCTGCCTACAACAAAAAGATCATGATATTAAAATATTCTGTTCTTAGTCTTTTTTTTTTTTTTTTTTTT